CCCATCTGGATTTTAAATTTACATTAAATTTTGCAACCAAGCTCAGCCAAACCTGCTTGCCATGTGATTTTAGACTTCCTCTGTCAGCACAGAATAGATAGGATTGAGGAGGTGGAGTTGGAGCAATTTTGTGACCCCTGAAGACAGTTTATGTTTCCCAGGATTCCAAAAACAGCTGTCATATTTCATCCAAGTCAAATCGAGGTGTGAAAAACAGGATCTTAGTCGCTCCTGTGATACATTTAACAGGTGTATGCTTTCTTGCCCTTGTAATTTGATGGAGGTTGGTTGTTTAAAATGTAGCAGTGAGAAAATGAGGTCCTGCAAAGGAAACTGGTAGCTCAGTTCCATGGTTTCTCTAGACCAGGGGTGTCAAACTCGCAACGTCACGTGACGTGTCACGACGTATTGCGACTTTTTTTCCATTGCCAGCAATGGGGTGGGCGCGGTGTCACCACGACGCATCTGACCCGCATGCCGGCAGTTTGACACCCCTGCTCTAGACCAGGGCTTTTCAACCAGTGGTACGGGTACCACCTGTGGTACATTGGCACCTGGCAGGTGGTACGCGACCAGCCTAGAAAAGTGGTAGTGGGGGAGGGGAATGAGCTGAACCTGTGGCAGCACCGCACATGCCTGAACGAGAGATGGCTGGAGCTGCAGGGCTGTCAGGGCTCAGCGGAAGCGCCAGGATCAGTGCCAGGATCCAGCTGGAGCTCGGTGCTGATCCTGGCGCTTCTGCTGAGCCCAGAAGAAGCACCAATCAGCTGGAATGTTGCAGCATCTCCAGGGTCTTGTGATTTACATTCAGATGCTTGGCAACTGATTCATATTTATGATGGTCACAGTGTCCCAGGGTCATGTGAAGTGACCAAAACCTGCTGCAACCACCGAGCAGATGGGGGGAATAAAAACCAAACACCCCCCCCCACTCCACCCCCCCTGCTGCCAATCCTCAACAGAAATGCTCACAATGAAAACCTTGGACAGGAGGAAGAGCGCCGCCGGGTGGGCAGGCAGGTGTCTTGCTCGGCTATGGCTTGGGGGGGGCACTTTTTCAGTGCCATTGTAACTTCAAACAGTCACTAAGTGAACTGTTGTAAGTTGAGGACTACCTGTACTTTATCACTTTTTTCCTTTTTGGGGGGGTCATCACGTTTTTGACACCTTGCTAGGCGACTGGTGGTACTCGGATGTTGCCATATCCTAAAAGTGATACAATGGGTGAAAAGGTTGAAAAGCCCTGCTCTAGACCAATCTAACTTACCATATTATGTTTATGATGGGATTTAAATCTACACTATAAGTCAAAATTATGAAACTGAGTCTCACTTACTTTGGCCATGTCAACATTATCCTGGGACACGTGTATTTGCCTTCATTCACAAACTAATTTGGAATAATTTATTGAATACTATTACATCCCTGCTGTGTTCTTGTTATAAAGCAGTGTGAGATTGGTTGGCTTTCTTTGATTTCATTTTTTTTCCTTTTGCATTTCTTTCTCTTTTTTATCAAAAAGGGGAAAAATAAAATCAAAGAATGCCAATCAAACCTTTATGCTGCTTTGCACTGCAACATGTGTGAGCAATCTTTTCCATCCAAGATCATTTTCGTGCATCTTATTATAAACAAAATGGAAAATACAGCTCTTTCTTTTCGTTCCCTGCTGGTAGCAGAAACAACTGTGCATATATTATATTTGTAGATTTTTTTTCCCCTTTTGGGAAGAATAAGTACAGCGTAGCCAAACTGAACAACCATTGAGCTTGCAAGAACTATCAATATTGTGAACTGGAAACAATTGTTTTGTAGAAGCCAGTGTTATCTTTCAATACAGTCTGACTGATAAGGTCTAGAGCAATAATGCCTTCAACTTTATTTCCAAAACACAGAGTAGAATTATTTTCTAAATATGGTGGGTGCCATTTAATTTGGTGAACTATGGCACATACTTGTTGACCGTCAAATATTCAGGCCACTAATGATTATCTGGGATGTTCAAATGGGAATAGGTATCTTAGGATGCCACACGAATATTCAGTATTTGTGGTGGCTATTAAAACCCAAACACCAAAAAGATGTTACTTTTTTCCAAAGTGGTAAAAATAGTCTGGATCCAAGTGAGATGATTATGCCAAGTGAGATGATTATGACTAATTTGGTTGAAAACAATTACTCTTGGTTAAGTCAAGTCTAACTGGTTTTGATGTGATTCACAGAATATACCAGTGATGGCGAACCTTTTAGAGACCGAGTGCCCAAAAACTGGCCCCGGCCCCGCTCCACCCCCTGCCCAGCCCCCACCCCGCCTGCCCGCAGGGCCACTCACCGCCTCCAGGGCCTGCCGCAGATCGCCCAGGCAGTCCAGTAGCACCATAGCGGCCACGCCCTCTGCCCGCACCCCACAGCATCAACTGTGCACGATGGGGCGTGAGGCCAGATTCTTGTCTACGCTGCCTGGCTGCCATGTTCTTGGCTGCGCTGCTCCCCATGGGCCACGCTCGGGGGCGACTCTCCTCCAGGGGGGTTGCTGGTGAGGGGGTTATGGGGGGAGGCAAGGCTGGGGCAATGGCATGTGTGCCCACAAAGGGGGCTCCGAGTGCCGCCTCTGGCACGTGTGCCATAGGTTCGCACCACTGGAATATACAGTAGAATGTAGCCTTAACTATTACTAACACCTGTTGTCCTGAGCCATTAAGTCATGTCCAACCCTCGGCCACTCTATGGATCAGCATTCTCCATGCCCCTCGTGTCTCACACTGTCTCCTACAGATCAGTTTTGGTCATTTCAGTGTCATGTTTTTACGGTGTCCAGCCAGTGGATGTTAGGGCAGCCCCTTCTTCTTTTATCTTTTTACACCTATATTCATGCAAATAATTTGTAAAATGCAGACTGTAACTCCGAGAGCGGTTCAGAGCAGCAGCTGAGTAACTTTACAGTTTTCTTTTATGCCCTGAAGCAAAGTTTATTGTGTAGAATATTTCAAATAAGAATTATCCTATTTGAGTGTATGGTTATTTTTATAAGTACTTGAGAGTGACAGTTGCAAAGACTTTTATCTTCCCCCCCCCTCCTTTTGATGGCTATCAAAACGTTCTTTATATTTTTCAGGGATAGAGCTCTGCCCTCCTAACCACCGTTTCATGATCACAATGATAGCAAGCTTTGTAGCAATGGCAGGGCAGTTCCTGATGCCAGGGCTGGCTGCCCTCTGCAAGGACTGGCAAATTCTCCAAGCTGTGATCATCTGCCCTTTTCTGCTGATGTTACTCTACTGGCTGTAAGTATCTGCGATTCTTTACTTTCAGAAGTGGTTCACTAGTAACAGGTGAATGCTTGAAGCCAAACAGAACATTTCAAGAGAAATGAGGTGTTTGATCCCAGATTTCCATGATACTTTTTATATGGAAACTCAGAGAAATAGTGTAATGCAGGGGTGTCAAACTGGCGGCCCGTGGGCCAGATGCATCACGCACAGGCCACACCCACCCCGGCTCCACAAAGGCAAAAAATGTCACGATATATCACGATACATCACGTGACGCAATCAAGTTTGACACCTGCCATTTCTCCGCCAACCTGTGGGTCTTTAAATCACAGGCAAAGTTAAAATAATGAGACATCAGAGGCAGGAACCATATTTCTATCAAATCTGGATGGATTTTTATGGTTTACCTCAATAACAATAGTACCGTGTTTTCCCCAAAATAAGACCGGGTCTTATATTAATTTTTGCTCCAAAAGACGTATTAGAGCTTACTTTATGGTTAGGTCTTATTTTCAGGGAAATATGGTACTAAATGTGTCCATCTGGCTGTGAATGGGGCTTATTTTCGGGGTGGGGCTTATATTACGAGCGTCCTGAAAAATCATGCTGGGGCTTATTTTCCGGTTGGGTCTTATTTTGGGGGAAACACAATCCTTTAATGTATGGTAAATGTGTACATGTATTGTCCTCACTTTTTTAATAGATTTTGTTTTGTATTTTTTGTATCTTTTTTTCTTTATGCATCTTGGATTTAGGTTAATTTAGCTATTGATAATATTTGTTAATCATAGTTCAATTAAAAAAAGACAACAAAATATATCAAGACAGAAAAAGAAGACAACATTAAAAACTAAACAAACAAACAAAAAGCTGGCAACCCTTTGAGAACCTTCGCTAACGCATTCTCCATCTTTAAAGTGTCTTCCCAGAATCTCTTCGGTGGCTGATGGCCACACAACAGTTTGAAGCTGCAAGGAAGCTCATCCTTCAATTGACTCACAGGAACAGGACAGATACAGAGTCTGATATTAAGGGAGTGATGCCTGGTGAGTGTTGGAAGCTTATGAGTGGTAGACAGTGAAAATGCACCTGGATGGTTTTATAGATTGCAGATTAAAAAATTTCAACTTTGCTTTGGGGGAAAAAAATTGCATACCAGACTCATCTGCAATTTTCCTTCAGGTTATTTAAGTCAGGGCTTTTCAACCAGTGGTACGGGTACCACCTGTGGTACATTGCCACCTGGCGGGTGGTATGCGACCATCCTAGAAAAGTGGTAGCAGGGGAGGGGAATAAGCTGAACTGGTGGCAGCACCGCACAAGCTTGAGCAAGAGATGGCTGGAGCTGCAGGGCTGTTGGGGCTCAGCGGAAGCGCCAGGATCAGCACTTCTTTGGGGCTGTCAGGGCTCAGTGGAAGTGCCAGGATCAGCGCCAGGCTCAAGCTGTAGCTCAGCGCTGATCCTGGTGCTTCTGCTCAGCCCTGAAGAAGCACCAATCAGCTGGAAAGCAGCACTGATCCTGGTGCTTCTGCTGAGCCCAGAAGAAGCGCTGATCAGCTGGAATGTTGCAGCATCTCTCCAGGGTCTTGTGATTTACATTCAGATGCTTGGCAACTGATTCATATTTATGACGGTCACAGTGTCCCAGGGTCATGTGAAGTGACCAAAACCTGCTGCAACCACCCAGCAGACGGGGGGGGGGGATAAAAACCAAACACCCCCCCACCCCACCCCCGCTGCCAATCCTCAACAGAAATGCTCACAACAATGAAAACCTCAGACAGGAGGAAGAGTGCGACCAGGCGGGCAGGCAGGTGTCTTGCTCGGCTGTGCCTTGGGGGGCACTTTTTTCAGTGCCATTGTAATTTCAAACAGTCACTAAACGAACTGTTGTAATTCGAGGACTGCCTGTACTTCATCACTTTGTTCCTTTTTTTTTTTTTTTTTTTTTTTTTGGTCATCAAGTTTTTGACACCTTGCTAGGCGACTGGTGGTACTCGGATGTTGCCATATCCTAAAAGTGGTACAATGGGTGAAAAGGTTGAAAAGCCCTGATTTAAGTAACAAAATGGAGAAGATAATTATTTGGTTCATGGGGGGAAAATTTGGTCCAGGGTAAATAATACTTCATTAATAACTTAATACTTCATTAATTATCTTGGAATATAGAAATACAGGTAGTCTTTGACTTACCACCACAATGGAGTCCAAAATTTCTGTTGGTAAGCGAAACAGATGTTAAGTGAGCTTTGCCCCATTTTACAGCCTTTCTTGCCACAGTTGTTAAGTGAATACTGCAGTTGTTATGTTAGTAACACAGTTGTTAAGTAAATCTGGATTCCCCATTGACGTGGCTTGTCAGAAAATCGCAAAAGGTGATCACGTGACCTCTTGGCACTGCAACCATCATAAATACAAGTCAGTTGCCAAGCGGCCAAATTTTGATCATGTGACCATGGGGATGCTGCAATGATCATAAGTACGAGAAACAATCACAAGTCGCTTTTTTCAATGATGCGGTAACTTCAAATGGTTACCTGAAATGCTTAATATAACCTAAATGAGCTGGGTACATTATTTCCAAGACAGAACAATCAACAGGACTAAAGGCTTAAACTGCACACAACATTAGCAGAGATATACCACTATCTTATCTCTAGCAAACTTTGTTTAGGTAACATTAGAAAACAGGACACATCTGTTTCTGTAGCCTTGGTACGATTACAATTAGTGTTCCCCCCCCCATCTTTTCTCTCCTTTTTGTTCTTTAAAGTATATCTTTAAACTATCTCAAAAGTCCATATGTTAAGTGTTTTCCTGTCTGTACTGAGTTTGTTAAGGACAAATGTGTCAAGAAAGCACATTTTCACAATGGATTTTACAGAAAATGTCTCTCATTCTTCCTAAGTTAATTAAAGTAATGCGTACTAAATGAGAGGACAACCATTAGGAAAAAAATATCTTAGAAAGCCAGAAAGAGACAGGAGAACAAACTAGGAATATAAAACTAGGAATATAATTTTGTGTCAATGGGTACTTTGCTCAAAATGATGGCCAAGAAATGGTGACCTCAAAATATTTGGACAACTGCAGATTGTAACTTTGTTCATTTTTGTGCAGCAGAATTTTAGAAGTCATTGATTATAATGTTCATTTATCCCAGAAAGTTACTTGGTCTCTGGTTATGTAAACTGAAAAATGTATAGCAGATTCAAGAATTACAATAGAATAAGCATCATCTTGTACAAACCTTCCTATCATACATACTTTGGTTTCCTCCCCACCAAATATCTTGCATATCTCAACGATATTTTGTTCCATACTGTGAAATATGGAACAATACTTGCTATTTTAATGGTCTTGTTCTCTATTGTAATTTGAATCTTGAGTTCCCTTTGATTCATATTTTGTGTGCTGTCATGAACTGGATTTTGGGGAGAAGGATGCTTGTGAATCAAGTGGCTGGCTGGATGTTTGTAAAAGCAAATGGCCACATTACCATTGGCTGCTTTAGAATAAAAATTAAATATATAATGGACTCTCCAAAATGTAATCGGTAGAGTGATTTGGGCTGTGCTCTGACACAGTGGCTGGCTCAGGAATTCTGGGAGTTGAAGTCCACAAGTCATAAAGGGTTCATAGTTCCCCACTCTGTCCTGCAGCATCCCTGTGTTCTCCTTATTTATTACATGTATATAATGCTCCTTTTTATGCAGCAAAGTGACATTTATGATGTTCCAGATGATCTGACATCTGAATGCTGGAACTGCTCCAGAGATGAAAATTCACAAGTTTTTAACATATTTTCCTGGATATACAAATTATTGGTAGAGCTAGATCTATTTTCAATAAGACTTTTTTTCCTTAGCCTTTGTTATTGCAGACATAGATTAAGAAAGCTGCAGCAGTATAGATAAAATTTAAATAACTAGCTATGTTAAATCCAGACCGTGACTTTGCAACTTCCTGGATGATTGTCTATGAGCTTTTTGTTAGATGAATCTTTTATGCTGACCTTGCAGGTCTGTTTTATCATACTTGCTACCTATTCTCTATAAAAGCCATTCTTCCACATCTATTCTGTATTGCAAAAATAGGCCTCCTACAGAGCCTTTGTTTATGTTTGCATTTGTGTGGTTGTTAAAGCACAACCCAGGTTGAACGGCCAAAATTCAGTGCTTTTTTTTTTTTTTCTGGAAAAGGGAAAATAGGTGTACTGAGTACATGTTTGATTTCAATTTTTATTTTATTCATGAGAAAAGGTGCAAAATTCTTGCCCCGAGTACGCTCTGAGAGACCTGTGCAGTGTATACACATTAGTCATTAAATAGTAAAACTCTGCAGAAGGGAGATAAGGATGATCCCTGCTTGTAAATGAGCTCAGTTGCCTGGATGTCAGCCTAGTTTACGCACGCATGAATGTTCTATGCTTTGAGGACAATAGATGGTCTGAATTGGAGAGTCATAACTCCTAGGAAATAAAATCCTTTACACGGACCTGGTTTATTTAGGGAAACATTCACTGCTTCTAATGTTCTTTTGGTAGACTGTGACTTAGACTAAGGGAATGCTGTTTTTGTTCCCTGATAATGTCAGTCAAACCACTCTTCCTTTACCTGTTTGATTGGCTCCTTCTCACAGGCCACAGGTGGTTGTCCACAGCTCTGTCAGGAAGTAAAGAAAAGGACAGCACGTCCTGGAGCTCTAATGGCTTCGTTGTCAGGGAGTGCCAGATGGGGGATGTGGGAAGCAGCCAAGCTGGAGGTAATGTATGAGCAGGCTACCAGACACAGAGGTTCCATACAACTAACTCGTGGAGAGGCAGAGACTCGTCAATTAGTTCATGGATGAGCTACAGATTGTTCTATAAATCAAATATTTGAATGCACTTCCATTTTAAAATACACTTGTGGAAAAGGGAATTCAGTGGGAAATATAGTTACGTGATACTGTTCTTTGTATATTGGAGATAAAGCTATGGTGGAATCTTTCTCGTGTCACACTAATTTTATGTGTGGAAAGCTGTCTTGCCTTCAGTTTGAAGACTTAAGAATGATTATCTCATGTCAGACTGCTGATCTCATGGCATAGCTCTCAGGCACAAAGTAATACCGGTAGTCCTCAACTTATGACCACAATTGAGCCCAAAATTTCTGTTGCCAAGCGAAACATTTGTTAAGTGAATTTTGCCCCATTTTATAACATTTCTTGCCACAGTTGATAAGTGAATCACTGCACTTGTTAAGTTAGTATCATGGTTGTTAAGTGAATCTGGCTTCCCCATTGACTTTGCTTGCGAGAAGGTCGCAAAAGCTGATCACATGACCCCGGGACACTGCAACTGTCATAAATGTGAGACAGTTTCCCAAGCATCCAAATTTTAATCATATGACCAGGGGGATGCTGCAACAGTTGTAAGTGTGAAAAATGGTCATAAGTCACTTTTTCAATGCTGTCGAAGTAACTTTGAACAGTCACTAAATGAACTGTTGTAAGTCAAGGACTCCCTGCATTTGAGGGGGAACACAATGAAGATTGTATCCCTTTGGCAACGGAATGGGCACGATGGGCTGTTCCCGTTCTCCATCTTCCCCTCACTCTTGAACACCTCCTGAATCTTCTCTAAAGGTTTAGGAGCACTGCCCGGAGCAGATCTAAAAATGCACGGACTGAAAAGCAGGAAGGAGATCAGAGAAATTCCTTTTTTTGTGTGTAGATGTCTAATTATGCAATAAGAGATTTAGCCTTAAAACAGCAACAATGTGACCTCTAAGAGTAAATTGCCTAATTCAGATATACTTCAAACATACAGGAGAGGGCATGGAAAAGGTTCTAATGTAAGCAATTTCTGGCTACATTTCTTTACCATTGGCTGGGATCTCTCTTTCTTTAATGTGGTTCCCAAGTTGTTATTGTATTACAATGGTGTGATGCGAGCATCTGTGTAAAGCTGCGGGTCATGTTTTATTGTTTATTGTGACGGAGGTATTATAGAACTTCTTGCCTGCTAGATTTTATAGTGCTGAACAAGAACAAGAACTGGCAATCTGTCCTTTATGTTATGGACATATAATAAAAAGGTAATTTTCAGAAAAGCTTGCTGAATATATATGAAAAGAGTGCAGGTACCTTTTGAAGAAGTCATTATGTTGTTTGTGCATTTATGAAATGATAGAATTTTGCCATGTTTGTTTGTTTGATATCCCGCCTTTATTATTATTTTTTTACAAATAACTCAAGGCAGTGAACATATCCAACACAACATATCCTCCTCTTGTTTCCCCCACAACATCAACCCTGTTAGGTGAGTTGGGCTGAGAAAAGTGACTGGCCCAAAATTACCCAGCTGGCTTTCATGGCCAAGGCAGGTCTTGAACTCACGATCTCTTGCTTTCTGGTCTGGGTAACTTAACCACTAGTACAAACTGGCTCTCCATAATGTTTTTGCCAGCAATCCCTTGATAAGCCTAATCAGAAAATGATCAGTGTCAAACACCTCCGAAAATAAAGTTATAGATCCTTGTCCCTTTTCACAAAAGCTTCTGTGAAGGATTGTCACACTGAAAACCAATATGTGACCTAACAGGTATTTCAGTTTTTTTCAAGGGTATATATCCACAAACATAGTTGGGTTTCTTTTTGGAAAACCAAGAAGAACCAGTTCTGCAATGGCCTTCTGTCTGATTATTTTGTTGACTCAGCCTTATCTGTGCTACGGGATATAAGAAAGTCAGTAATGTTTACAAGAAGATGAATTAAAAAAAAATTTTTTTTTCCTCCTTTGGTCTTTTCTTCCTGTTATATGGGATTTCCTGTGCTTGTGAGTTGCTTCTCACAAGAATTTGAGAGAGGCTGAACTTTACAAGGATTACAAAGATTCAAAGGAATGGGAAAATAAATCTGCGGGCATGCCAAAGCAATTATCTTTATTTCACTTGTGTTTATGGCATGGTATTGAAGTTTTTAAGCTATGCAAAATTTTTCTTAAAGCTGATGTTTAAAAAAAATAAAATAAAGGGACAGCTATTTTTCTGTATAGGACCAGACTAACATTGATAAAATGGAAAAGGTGTGAAATTATTCAGTTAGAACTAAGCACAATGAATTAGGTATGAAAAAAGTGTACTAGAATAATAAATGGAAAAATCCTATTTCAAAATATACAATATCAAGAAGGTTTTACCTCCCTTTTCTTCTATTTTTTCAGTACATGGCTTCAGTGGACACTGAAATCTAATTGTCTGTTAGTACTCTTATGGTTCCTGTGGTAATTCAGATGGTTATTTATCTATACTTTTGAGATAAGAGCCGTGGTGGCGCAGTGGTTAGAATGCAGTATTGCAGGTTAATTCTGCCGACTGCCAGCAGTTCGATTCTCACCAGCTCAAGCTTGACTCAGCCTTCCATCCTTCCAAGATCAGTAAAATGAGAACCCAGATTGTTGGGGGCACTAAACTGACTCTGTAAACCTCTTAGAAAGGGCTGAAAAGCGGTATATAAGTCCAAGTGTTATTATTGTTATCGCTACTTCCTGGTATGAAAGTTGAATCTCTTTGTATTCTTGATTGTGAAAGGAGACAGGGGAGGGAATGATCAACTCCCAATATGTAGATCCAAATAATTTTTCTACATAGCTTTCCCCCCCCCCACAGAAAACAGTCCCAGAGTATTGTGTTATTCAGTTATTCTTTCCTGTATTCAATGAATATGAATTCCAACTTGAATGGACATATTAGTATCAGGTAGTTCAACACAGTGACTATATAGTATCTAGGAACAGAGCCTTGCATGTAAAATTTAGAATAAATGCTAAACCTCAGAAAATTTCAGTAGTCCAACAGTTCTCATCTTAAGATGAGTAACAAATACCTAAAAAAAAAAAATCCATCTCCCTGCTCTGCCTGGTCAATTGCTGGCATTTCTAATTTGCCAAAGACAGTGAGGTAATTGACTGTCTTTATAAGCCTGCCTTAGTTCCAAATCCGTGTCCGTTTCAAAACATTTTTGTGGCTTCATTCATTTTTAACAACTCTCTGAAGACAAGATAGAACATTTAATCCAAGAATGGGCAGAAGGGAATAACAAATAGATTCTACGTTGCCAAAACTATACCAAGGCTGAAATAAGAAATCAGGAATAAGATTTTTGTGAACATGCAAGTTTTATTCCTTTCTGGTAATCCAACCAAATACCTGGGTTAAAGAATTCTTTAATTTTATCTTCTGCCAGCTCCAGCTGTAGAAATCACAACATAATGCTGAAATTGACACCTCCTTAATCCAATCATAAAACTCTCCCAAGGCTTTGATAGCTTGAAAAGAAAGGGGGAATAGGTTCAATTAATTATTAATTCAGAAATGAGATCAAGATTAGGGGAGGTGTATTACTTTCTTTTTTTTTCCTGTTGCGTGGTTCCCAAACTTCAGAAACCATGGTGTGTAAGCTTTAAACACAATTCACTGTCTAACGGAACCCTGAAAAAAAGAGCCAGAGAATTTTAATTAGAACTTGCTTTTTTCCAACCGGGCTGATCTGCCTCTTTCCCAAATGCCTACCTTTTAAATAATGAAATGTTGCTTTTGTTTCAGAACTAGAGAAAGAGCTTGCCAGGAGACCAAAAAAAGTCTGCATTGTTAAAGTGGTGGGAACAAGAAACCTGTGGAAAAACATTGTTGTGCTCTGCATCAATTCGTAAGTATGAATATGCCTCCCAGAAGGATTATCGAAAGAGTCTCCATAGAGGAGAAAAATAGGGAAATTTTATCTATTAGCATCAGCAACCCCTGTGGCTTGGATGTTAAGAGTTTTTTTAAGTGAATAATAATAATAATAATAAAAATCTGCCTTCCTTCTCGCTACCAGGAAACCAAGAAGTGCGTGTATATTACATACCAGAATTGCTACTCTTACCATTGTCAAGAGGCAGTTTGCAACAGAAGAATTTGTTTTAACTGCTTTGTGTTTTACCATCCATTCCATAAGAGTGGCTTTTCCTGCCTTGCTTTTCCTACGAGTCCAGCTGAGATGAGGCAAAGGCTAAGAAAAAGCTGGCCAGAGATATACATGGAACTATGACTGATAACTCTCTGGATGATTTAGAGGAAATGGGCAAAGATCTCTCATTTCGGCTGTTTAACAATAGTAGTCACAAAACTACTCTGCCTTCCATCCTGTTTATACGAATGTGCTTATTTGTTTGCACGTTTCATCCTGAAACTTTTTCAGTGACTCCATTAGCAGTATTTAGGTCCCATAGTCTTTACTGCAAAGTTCACTGAAATCTCACTGAAAAATATGACCCTCTAACAAAGGAGGAGAGAAATCAGTGAAAACAATTTGTGTATGTAGATGCTTCTTCGACAACTGAAAGTATCTAAGCTGATGCCCCTCTCAAATTGAACTGATTAGTTTATTGCATGATTTTTTTTTTCTTAACAGTATCGCTCTGAGCAACTGTAACAACAAACAACAACTAAAAAAACAGGGTTGGCAGGTTGATTTTGGGTTGGCAGGTTGATTTGGGAGACAGGTTGCCCCCTGGCATAATATTTTTATGTAAGGCATCTACATATCTAAATAGAGAGCATGGTAAAAGTTCTTTATAAGCCATATTAGGAATGATTGCATACGCATGTTCATAATTTGGGGGCTATAGCATTAAATGTTCTACCAACATGCCAGATGCAGATCTCATATCGCTCAGTGATACCTCAAATCACAGAGTCTTTTTTCAAATTCCAGCTGCCTGCCAGGGATTGTCTATGGCAGGGGTAGGCAACCTTGGCTCTTTTATGACTCGTGGACTTCAACTCCCAGAATCCCTGAGCCAGCATAGCTGGCTCAGGAATTCTGGGAGTTGAAGTCCACGAGTCATAAAAGAGCCAGGGTTGCCTACCCTTGGTCTGTGGAGATATCAACCCACTATGATGAGTGCCTGATTTCAGAAACTCTTCATCATCTATACAGGTAGTCCTCGACTTACAACAATTCATTTAATGACTGTTCAAAGTTACAAGGACATTGAAAAAGTGATTTATGATTTGTGACCATTTTTCACACTCAGCGACCGTTGCAGCATCCCTCGTGGCCATGTGATCCAAATTCAGACGCTTGGCAACTGACTCATATTTATGACGGTTGCAGTGTCCCGGAGTCACGTGATCCCTTTAACAAGCAAAGTCCATGGGGAAGCCAGATTCACTTAACAACTGTGTTACTAACGTAACCACTGCAGGGATTCAGTTAACAAATGTGGCAAAAAAGATTGTAAAATGGGGCAAAAGTCACTTAACAACTGCTTCACTTAGCAACAGAAGTTTTGGGCTCAATTTTGGTCGTACGTCGAGGATTACCTGTACTGGGTAGAGACTGGGCTAATTTATCAGGCTCCTGTAGCAAGCAATTCTTTAGCAAAAATTATACAAATATTTGTTGCTCTTTCGATTCTGTTAACTGATGCCCTAATCCAGTGGTGGCGAACCTATGGCACGCATGCCAGAGGTGGCACTCAGAGCCCTCTCTGTGGACATGCACACCATTCCCTGGAGATGGCAACTGTCCTTCTTCAACCAGCCGCCTGCTAACTCGCTGAGCTCCCACGTGGCTGGATGCATCCCAGCATGGCTGGTTTCCCTCCCCCCTCCCATCCCTCCTGGCCTCACATGCTCTTCTTTTCCTGGGCATGACCCACTGCATCGTCTCCTCAGCTGTCGGCCGGCCGTCCAGCTCAGAGGCGGCTTCTCTGAACTGCTGGGGGGCAGGCTGCGGAGCCCCAGAGTGCACCGGTCGACGGGCTGGCAGGCTGTGGCTGCTGACGGACACTGTCGGCCCCCATGCGCTTGCTGGCCTCTGTGTGCAGGGGCCGATGGTGTCAGGCAGCAGCCGCCCCGGCCCCTGCCTCACCTTGCCCTGCAAAAATGGCACCCCCACCCTGCCTCGCCTTGCCTCGCCTCACCCCTCAGGATGAGCCTCCTGCCCACCGCCCACCTGCCAGAGATCCCCTGGATCTCCCCCAACCCTGCCCGGGCCCCACAGGCATCCCTCCCCACGAGCAACATTGAGGTGACTACACCCACCTTGGCCACACCCACCCAGTCTGCCATGACAGCCATGCCCATCCAGTGGGCCACGCCCACCTGGCACCCGGTGATAAATAAGTCGGTTTTGGGTTGCAGTTTGGGCACTCGGTCTCTAAATGTTCACCATCACTGCCCTAATCTAATGTAAATTGTTCATTGTGGGAAAGTCAAAATGAGGCTCATGGCAAGATAGCTTTTCAGTATTCATATTTTAGTAGGAAATGAAATAAGATTGTGCACCACCTAATGGTATATGACTTCACGTTAACCTTTAGATTCTGCAGTTCTTTGCTAGAGTAGAAAAATATCTTTTAGTATTGAAGGGAGAATTCATTATTTAAAACCATGCTTTTTTTAAAAAAAATATTTAAAAGCAAGTTTATAGTCCCTCTTGGTTGTGAACATTGGCTTCCAAGATTTGGTTCATGATTGATGAAATAATGCTGAAAAAAGTAGCTCATTCCTTATGGACAAGGATGTGATTTCTTTATTCTGCACTGTTTCTTGCTCTTTCCCTAGCTAAGGAGGAGTTCAGTAGATTATGCAAACAATGCAGTTCATTTTATCTGCATAACATAAGCATGTCTTAGAATATTTATATTTTAATATGGGTTTTCACAGCTTTGGATATTTAATACCAGCAGATATCAGACACTAAAGATTAAAAAAAAGATTCTAAACTAATCAAGGAGAAAAGCAACCTAGAACTAAGGAGAAACTTCCTGACAGTTAGAACAATTAACCAGTGGAACAACCTGCCTCCAAAAGCTGTGAATGTTCCAACACTGGAAGTTTTTAAGAAGAGACTGGACAACCATTTGTCCGAAATGGTGTAGGGTTTCTTGCCTGAGCAGGGGGTTGGACTCGATGACCTCCAAGGTCCCTTCCAACTTTATTATTATTATTATTATTATTATTATTATGGATCATCGCACAGTCAGCCAGATGTTCAGACTGGATTTGGCATTTTGTCTACCTATCGAGTCCTTTCCCAGGACCTGGGATAGGCAGATGTGGATGTTTGATGGTATTACAGATATCGTCGCAGGATGGAAGCAGTTCCTAGTAAGGCCGCCTTTTGCAATTGACT